CCCCCTGCCCACGTGCGCCCTCGTGGCAGGTGAGCACGCGCGAGGCGCTGAGCGCACCCAGGAGCTCGCAGAAGACAGCCGTGTCCGCGCCGGGCAGCCGGTGCCTCTCAACGCGCGCAGCTGACTTGGAGCGCCCTGGAAGGGAGGCCTGTAGCCACGCGGTGGCCACGGTGTGCGCCTTGAGGTCGGGCTTCCGGGTGTGTGGAGCTGCTCGCTAGGGAGCGCGGATGGCACCGGAAGCGGGCCTGACCCTGTGAGGAGGGGCAGAGCAGGATGAGCCGGCGTGCTCCGAGGGTCTGGCCGTGTGTCCGCGTGCACACACACGCATGCACAGGCCCAGGCCCGGCAGGGCACCCGGGAGGAAAGCTCACCGGCGCTCGGGAAGGCTTGCGTGGTTCGCTCACAGGTCGTTTAGTTTTCTTCTTTCTTTTCCTGTGTCTTCTAAAGTTTCTGCAAGGTCCCATCTTGTTTCATTATGATGGAATCACGCTGAGGCGACCTGTATGACGTTTTGCTTCAAAGATAAAAAAGTAGCGAGAGGTTTAGCTTACTCCTTCCCGGATCCTGATGACTCTGCCCCTGACCACCGGAGAGCCACAGTTAAGCTCCTCTGTCTTCCTCTGCCTCTGAGACACCCTAAGGCCCAGCCGCAGGGCCGCAGCCTTGAGTCGGTCGCCGTGGCGGTGGCCGTTTCCGAGAAAGTCGCTGTCTCTGTGGAGACTGTCTGGCATCATGGTTTTGACTGGCAAGCTGGAGCGCATGCTGATGTGTGCACACGCCTGGCTTCCTTCCGAGTCTCAGCCGTCTCGTCCCCGCGTTCCTCGGGCGCTTGCGTGGGTGAGGCGTGGGCACTGGCACTAACCACACCCCGCTCCGCCCGGCTCCTCTGGCTGTGGGCGGACCGCCGAGCTGCCGTGGCCTGCCGGGCGGCGCAGCCTCGAGGAGCCTGCTTCGGGCGGCGTTCGTGTGTGTCGTCTGAAACTCAGGGTGTGTGGGGGCCTGACGGCGGCGGCCGAGCAGCAAGCACTGAGAGGGCACTCCTCGGCCCCGGGCCTCGGCCCTCCCCCTCCACCGGCGCCCCAGCGCTCGCGCTCCAGGCCCTCCGGCCCGTCCTCCGCTCTCACGGCGCGCCCGTCCCGGCCTGGAGGGTAATCTCGGCTGTGTTTGTGTCTGTAGAAGTGGAAGCGTTTAGCCCGCCCCAGATGTCCGAGAAGATCCTGCTGCGGCTGCTGAAGCACCCCCACGTCGTCCAGGAGCTGAAGCTCGACGAGAAGGACAGGCGGGCGCCCGAGTCCTACCTCTACCAGCACGGCAAGCCCGTGGACCACTTCATCCTCATCCTGCAGGTCAGGGCGGGTCGGGCGCCCACTCCTCCGCGCAGGGCTGCCCG